CACCGCCAGCAGCACATTCTCGTGTTGAGACGTCTCAAAGCTCAAGCCAAGCAAAGTCAAATCAGGTCAAGTCAAGGCAAGTCACATGGGTGAGCGACCTGTCACCTGCATGACGAATTTGAGGTAGTTGTTCATGGCGTAGAGGAGCGCCGGCACCGCCAGCAGCACATTCGCCTTGGCTGACTGGTGGCAGGCAGGCATGGGAAGGCAGGCAGGCGGGCGGGAGGGTGGGCAGGTGGGATTAGGACGAGTGGTATAAAATCTAAGTCGCCTCAAACTTCATCTCACTTCACGTCGCGTCGAGGAGGACAGGAACGGCCAGCAGCAGCACATTCGCCTTGGCTGCCTGAGAGAGCAGGCATGGGAGGACGGGCGGGCGGGCAGTGGGGATGAGGATGAGTGGAATAATTTCTAAGTCGCCTCACAATTTGTCTCACGTCGCGTCGAGGAGGAAAGGCACGGCCAGCAGCAGCACATTCGCCTTGGCTGCCTGAGAACAGGCATGGGAGGACGGGCGGGCGGGCAGTGGGGATGAGGATGAGTGGGATGCGAGCGGGATGCTGCGATGAGCTGAGCGGAGAGGAACGAGCGGACGGTCGGAGGGAGACTGATGACGAATGACATCACCAGATGGTGTGGAAATGCGGTATGGTATGGGGATGGAACACAGGGTTAGGGATAGAGTATGGGAACATGGCATCGGAATAGGGATCGGGAATGGGAATAGGGGTAGGGAATCGGAATAGGAATAGGAGAGGGATAGGGATAGGGAATGGAATAGGGGTAGGGAGTACAACATGGTAAGGCAATGCAGCACAGCATAATGTGCATTGCATGTACCTTCCAGATGGCTCTGGGAGTGAAGGTATTTGAGGCGCCTCAAAAATCAATGCAGCACAGCATAATGTGCATGTACCTTCCAGATGGCTCTGGGAGTGAAGGTACTTGAGGCGCCTCAAAAATCAATGCAGCACAGCATAATGTGCATGTACCTTCCAGATGGCTCTGGGAGTAAAGGCAGCTTTGACGCTGGGACGGGCACTGCGGGCCTGGTGTGGTGGAGGCGCAGGGGGGGAGGCAGAGAGGTGAGGGAAGGAGGGAGGGAGAGAAGCAGGCAGGCATCCAGGCGTAAGGGGTTCATTTGGAAGAGCGATGATGGCAGTGTGCAGAGAAGGAGAGGGTGGAACGAATTCGGGGGAAGCAAAGCTAGAGAGGTTGAGAACGGGAGGAGGAGGTGGGGCGAGCGGGGTGAAGAGGGTGGGGGGGAGGAGAGGACAGCGGAGCAGGGATAGGGGACAGGCCAGCACGCGTGGAAGAAGACGATGGTGATTGGTGAAGGTGAACGAATAGCCACGTGTAGAAAGTGTATTTTTTAGGCGTCTCAAAAATAAGGGACAGGCCAGCACGCGTGGAAGAAGATGATGGTGATTGGTGAAGGTGAACCAGCTCAAAGAGCTCGAAAAATATATTTGATTTGAGTAGTCGATTATCATTGAAGTTCCAGAAAAGGGAGAGGAGACCAGGGAGAAGGGAGAGGGGCGAGGGGAGAGGGGAGAGGGGAGAGGGGAGAGGCAGAGGGCAGAGCGCAGAGAGCAGAATACAGAGCAGCGCACCTGGAAGAAGATGATGATGATGGCGAAGGTGAGCTTGAAGAGCTCGGAGAGGAAGTTGACGCTGATGGGGTTGAAGAGGAACTTGCCGTCCACCTTGCTCATGAACACCAGGATGGGCTGCATGCCTATGAAGAAACAGTCCCCCGCCACCAGCATCACGTTCAGCGCGCGCGACTGTAGACCTCCTGCTTGTGCTCCTCCTCCTCCGGACCCTGCCCTGTGGAACGCGCGTTTCATCGCCATGTGTGGACTGTGCCGCGCCTGCTCTGCTCTGCTCTGTTCTGCTCTGCTATTCGGTGCTCTGCCTGCGCTCTGCTTCTTTCTTCAGACAGTCTACTCTTCTTAGTCGCACCTTGTCCGACCGGCCGAATAAGCACTTTCAGTTACTCAAAATTGCAGAATCCAGTCCAATTCCACCCCTCCCCCTCCCCCGTCCCCCGTCCACCTGCTCCTCCTCCAACGCCCGCTTCCCCTATCACCCACTCACTTTCAGTTTGCACACACCCTTGATCCCCGATACCAGCTCCCCGCTCCCCGTCCCCCTTCAAACTTCGCAACTACCACCTCACCCCACCACTGATTCCATGCGTCCCGTCCGCGATATCCGCGATCTGCCTGCTAACCATCCACTAGCTGCCCCCACGAGAACGATTCTTGACTGGACTAAGAAATCATTTGCCTGCCAAAAGATCTCCGTAAGTCTACCTCTTCCTCGGCCGTTCGATTCTGACAGAAACCGCTCAAGTCCGGGCTACCCTGGAGAGCTTTCTTGCCCTAAAGAGAACTCGCGAGCAGACTATTGAAACGCCGCGAAAAAGCAACAGGTTGAACAATGGCTGAACTATTGATGAGTTTGTGCCTGCGGGAGCCGATGGTGCTGAGCCCGAATCCCTAGTAATGCAAAAAAACGGCGTCCAAAACGACGTGCTTCAGGCTGTTCTTGAGCTGCTTACGGTACTTTCATAGATTCCGCGTCGAGTTTCGGCTGATCAGGGCACTGGACAGCGGCCGACGCTCGTCGCTGCGTCCTACTATGCCTAGCTAACGACAATGGTTGACGGTGAAACCGGATGCTGCGACATTAGTAGTTATTGTGGTTGCTCCGTTCCTGGCGAGAGCGGATGGAAGGAATGATCGAGCGAGCACCATTCGATCCGAAGCGGACGAATACAGTGAACTGTAGCAGTGGCAGGTGAAGGAGAAATTTAGCAGTCTGCCATACTTGCATCTGCCAATCAGTGGCTTGCTTTCATGGTCTTCCTCACCAACCAGCAGCAGCAGCAGCTCTGGTCCATGCTGAGTGCTACTGCTGGCACTGGGTTTGTCTAAAGATATTTGTGATATCGCCTGAATGCTTCACGAACTCCTACTTCGCGAGCGTCGTCACGCCTGAGTTCAGCGTCACGATTGGTGTGATTGAGCTTTGTTACATCGGTAAGGGTATGCAACGAATCATCGTGAGTACGAAAACCCGTTTCCACTGAGACGAAGCTGGTAACAGGCTACACCTCCAGAGATACTTCAAAGGGGTGTTCCAGATGGTCAGGCGGCCTTGGGGATTGTTCGGCTCGGGCATGCCCGAGCCACAGGTTTCCAAACCTGCCCAACTTTCCATTCGTACTGTACACCCAACCAGGAAATACACTATGGAAATCTGCCTTTTCTGCAGCACCCCTCAAATCCATCCAGTCCAGTTTCCTCGAGATTAGTTTCTTGCCTTTCAAGCCCAACACGACGAGACTTACCTAGTTAGTCTCCCCTGGACCACTACACACAGACCGACCCACAATTTCGTCGCCAGCTTGCACCCGCGCACTCCATTTCACGCATCCATTGCCCGCCGCGACGCCGCGAAGCTAGCAACCCCAGCCACGGCGATGGCTTCCGCTGTGGTAACCACCGCGGCGCACATGGCGCTGGCGATCGCGTCCATGGCGGTCGTGCTCGTCTTCTGCGACGGGTCGCTCTTCGGGTACCATCCCTCGGCGCTCGCTCTCGGCTTCGTCTTCCTCATGGGAGAGGGCGTCATCGCAGCTGCTGTGGGCAAGGTAGTATTGTTAGCATTGGCATTGTTGCTTCACCTTTTGAGACGTCTCAAAAGTCGCTCGCTCTCGGCTTCGTCTTGCTCATGGGGGAAGGCGTCATCGCCGCTGCTGTCGGCAGGGTAGTGACAGTTGTCAATGCTGCAGTCAGCATTGATAATGCTGCTTCACCACGACAACCCACATTCCGTGCATTGCCCCTCCACAATGTTCCCCCCGTCCTTGACCCCATCCCCCCCGCTCCCTTCTCTCTCTATCTCTCTGCCAGTCTATTTCTCCCTCTTCTCTTCTTCCCAACGTCGCTGCCTCTCTCCCTCTTCTCGCTCCCCAAACTTCACCACTCTCCATTCCCACCCTCTGCAACCACCACGAGGGTCGGCAGCGGCCCCTCTGGATCAACATCCACGCCCTCCTCCAAAACCTGGCAGTAATCTGGATCACCACCATCTATCTCAGTAACTCCCACCTGGTCAAGCTGCACTTCACCACTCCCCACTCGCACCCTTTCCAACCACCACCACCACCACCAGGGCCGGCAACGACCGCTCTGGATCAACATCCACGCGCTGCTCCAAGGCTTAGCAGGCGCCGCCATCGCAGCCGGAATCACCGCCATCTACCTCAACAAAACCCGCCTCGGCAAACCGCACTTCACCACTCTGCACTCCCGGCTCGGCCTCGCAGCGCTGGTGCTCTCTGCAGGCATTGCTGCGGGCGGCGCTGTGGTGAAGTATCTGCCCGCTGCTGGGGTGGGTGCGGGTGTGGTGGAGGCGACACGGCGTGCGCACAAGCAGTTTGGCTCTGTGGCTTTTTTCCTGGGAGTAGCGGTGTGTGTGAATGGGCTCCGACTCACCAACCCTTCCAGCCCTGTGTATAAGGTGAGGGTAGGAGGGATGTGGGGAGAAGGAAGGGGGAATATGGAGGTAAGGTGGGGGAAAAGTTTGCGTGAGAGAGGGGGAAAGGGGTTGGGCGAAAGAGGAGAAAGAAGAGAGGAAGGTGAGGAGAAGAGAGAAGGGCCAGAATTGAAATGCTGTGGGGTGGTGAGAAGAAGCTGATTGCATTCCTATTGCAGCAATGTCACCAGACGACCAACACATTTCACCCTAATTTCACCATGCTTCCCTGCTGTTTTTCTAAACACCTGCTTCAGGCTGCTAGCTTACAGTACATGCAATCCCTGCTTTCCTTCTCATTCGTATGCTGTAAACCAATGCAGGGTCCACTATCAATGGCAGTGGGTGGTCTATTGGTGTTGGCTGCTGCTGCTGTACTTCTCCAGCTACTTCTTGCACCCTCTGCCGCTCCCAAGGCAGGCAAGGGCAGGAGAGCACCCAAGGCAGATTAAAGCATTGTATGGAATGGAGGAAGGGGAAGAAGAAAAGGTAGGTGAAGCAAGGAGGCACATGTGGCTAGCTGTAAGGAAAATTCCTTTTCCTTACTTCGCGTCCCTGCTTACCGCGTACATAACCGTTCCCGCCATCAGCACCCATCCATGAACGTTACCCGTTCACGACACTGACCACAACTCCCGCCACTGTTCACGACGCGACCCAACCTAACGGTTCGGTTGGTAACCCGCGCTCCGGACCACCGCCTCCACAATTCTCCAATCCTCGGTGCTAGGCCCGTAGCGCACCTCAATTTCCCACATTACCGTTACCACTGTAGTCTCGCTATATATTCTTCGCTCATGCCTTCGCTCATTTGTACTCTTGCTTCGATAGTGCAATTCTCGCTCGTTCACTCAATTGCACTCGTAACACTTGGTATTCAGAGCCTACGATCTCTTCTCGGACCGCACCCACACCTTCGCTTCCCCACTATCTCAATTTTTGGGGGGGGGTAGACGTCTCTCAGCGAACAAGCACCGCCGCTCGAAGTGCTCTCTCGTAAGCACGCACGGCCACGACCGAGGCTCTCGCTGAGCTTGCCCGACACCCCGCCCCGCCATGGCCGAATTCATTCTCGCGAAACTGACGCAGGAGCAACTCGACCGTCTCGTGCGCCAAGTCGAGGATTCGGCGCTCGAAATTGCGACGCTCACGGCGGAACGTGACTCCGCTCGTCATCAATCCACGGTGAATGCTCCAGCACCACCACACGCACCTGCAAATGTACCCGCACAATCGGAGGAGCCGATCGTCATTTCATCCGGCACACCAACACAGAACGACAGTGTGGGACAGCGCTCAGGCGCAGCCAGTGATGGTGCCGCTCACTCGATGCCTGGCATGGAGAGGAACAGGGTCGCACCAAGCCCGCGGGAGCCTCGTGAAGCCCGTCGGCACGTGGAATTTGCGGCGACAAGTGGCGATCACGCCAGCATGGCACCAATGCCACTCAAGCCGCAGCGCCCGCCCTGCTTCGACCCGAGCCAACGAGGAGGTCCGACGGTTCAGTCGTGGGTCTTCACGATGAACGTTTTCTTCGACGCAAACTACGTCGAGTCGGACGCAGCGAAGATCAGATACGCCGTCTCGCTGCTGAGAGGCCCCGCCATGGACTGGTGGCGAGTCATCGTGACGTCGCCACGCGCCTACGAGCCACGAAGAGGAAGGGCCCACTGGCCCAGCTGTCACCTGGAGTTCATTCTGCGAAACCGCCCAATACAGCACGTGGGATGCGTGGTGCGCAAGGCTTCGGGCGCGCTTCGAGCCGATCGCGGCTCCTATTTCGGCGCGTCAGAAGCTGCGTACTTGGCGACAGCTCGGATCGGTCGAAGACTACACGAGCGGTTTTCTCGCATTATGCGAGCAAGTCGGCTATATGCACGAAGCGGAGCGGGTGGACCGTTACGTCGGAGGGCTGAAGCCGGACATCTCGCACGAAATCATGCTACGCAGACTCTCAAATTTCAACGAGATTCTCGCGCTCGCCGAGAAAATCGACATTTTACGCCGTCTGAGACCGGGGTCCTACTACGGACATCGCACTCGGGGACCAATCGAGCACGCCACTGTACACGCCGTTGCGACGAACGCAGCTGCCGCGCCGTTTAAGGGGCGCTGCTTTGCTTGCAATAGGCCGGGCCATCGTAAGAGTGAGTGTCCAGAGGAGCTGAGGCGCCGCGGAGCAGAGCAAAGGAGGGAGTCTCCAAGGCAGGGAAACGTCAGCAGTCAGTAGGAATCGGGCCAACTACTGACGAGACTGCCTGCTCGCCCAACCACACCGACCCTCACCGAGTCACAGTACCGATTCACGCTATCGATCGGGCTCGGATGAATAAGGAGGGTACAGAGACGGATTGCCCAGTACTGATTCACTGAAAAATACAGGGAGCGGCGGTGAAGATTTTTATCGACGGAGGCGCAAGTCACAGCTTAGTTAATACCGCGACCGCACGAAAACTACAACTGACACTGAGTCGGTGTTTACCGGAAATAGATGCACGCTTAGTTGACGGCACACCGCTGGCCATAGGGAAAAGGTGGAGAGAGTAAAGATCCGTTGCGGGGGGAACTTCGGGTTTACACAGGAAATGCTCGCGACGACACTGGATGGGCACGAGATTTTATTGGGACGTGATTGGTTGCGACGGTTTAACCCGCGAATCGACTGGACGACGGGTAGCTGCACTGTGCGAAGTAGCGGTAACTGGGTGTCGCTACCACGCTAGCAGTCGCCCGAGTCTTCAACAGTCCACGTCAACGCCATCACGATGAAACGGGCTGTCTCCGCTGGAGCTAACGTGTACGCAGTGGATATAGCATTGATAGGAGAAGCAGAGCAGCCGAGTGATTTTCAGAAACTGCTGACAGCGGTACCGCCCGAACTGCATGAACTGTTGAAACGGTACCCGGGGATTTTTCCCGACGACTTACCGGAGGGACTGCCACCTCAGCGAGCACACGACCACCGCATAGAGTTAGAACCCGGGGCACAGCCAACCGTACAGCGACAGTTCCGACTGACACAGCCCGAGCTCGATGAGCTGAGGAAGCAGTTAGACTACCTGTTAGAGAAAAAATTCATCCGACCGAGCTCGTCACCGTTCGCCGCACCGATACTGTTCACACCGAAAAAAGACGGAGGGTTTCGCATGTGCATCGATTACAGAGCACTGAACCGGGTAACAGTCAAGTCGCGATACCCCATTCCCCGCGCCGACGAACTGATCGACCAACTGCGAACGGCACGGGTTTTTTCGAAAATAGATTCACAGGGAGGTTACCATAAGATTAGAGTCGAACCATCGGACTGCGCCAAAACAGCCTTTAGAACTCGATACGGGTCATTCGAATACACCGTGATGCCATTCGGGCTGACCAACGCACCGGCGACATTTCAGATGACCATGAACGAGGCGTTTAGGCCACTTTTAGATAAATGCGTGATAGTTTACCTCGACGGCATCCTAGTCTACAGCATGGATAAGCAGCACCTCTTAGCTGATCTGGAAGCAGTTTTTAAGGTTTTAGACGAGCACCGCCTACTGACCAAGGGTTCCAAGTGCGAGTTCTTTCAGGATAGGTTAGAATTCTTGGGGCACGTAATTTCGGAGGCTGGGGTTGAAATCGACCCAAAGAAGCTGGACACGGTCAAAGCGTGGCACCCCCCGACAAATATCACGGAGCTGCAGAGTTTTTTAGGGTTCGTTAATTACGTGCGTCGGTTCGTCCCCGACCTGGCGAAATTAACAGCCCCACTGACGGATCTGCTGCGGAAGGGGGTCGCTTTTACGTGGGAGGAGAAAGAGCATGCTGCCTTCTCTGCCCTGAAAACTGCTCTCTGTTCACCGCACGTACTGCGCATCGCTGACCCACACCGCCCCTTCGAAGTCGTAACCGACGCAAGCGACATCGCCATTGGAGCTGTACTGCTACAGGATTTCGGCAACGGCCTACAGCCCATCGCCTACGAGTCACGAAAGCTGCATCCGCCCGAAAAAAATTACCCGATACACGACCGCGAAATGCTCGCGATCGTGCATGCGTTCAAAGTCTGGCGCTGTTACTTGACCGGCGCAGACGTGACAGTACGAACAGACCACAGATCCCTACAGTACCTCCGCGCACAACCCCACCTCAACCCACGACAGATCCGCTGGCTCGATTTCCTCGAGTCGAACTTCCACTATACGGTCACCTACAAAAAAGGAGCATCCAACATCGCTGACGCACTGACCCGCCCCACTGCCCAAATCCATGCGATACTACTCGCCCAGACCAGCCCGCTCCTGACAGGACTATTTACCCACGGGTACCAAACGGACCCATTCTTCACAGGAGGAAATTCGCAGCAGTTCGCAGCAGCAAAGGTAGTCTATTACGTAAAAACCGGGACCGACCGCATCTGGGTACCAGGGTACACACTGCTACGGGAATTACTGTTACAGGAGGCACACGATGGAGTTACCTCGGGGCATTTCAGGGTAGAAAAAACACGGCAGCAGCTGCAGCGGTATTACTATGGCCCGAGATGCTGACCGACGTGCAACGACACGTGGCATCGTGTCCCACCTGCCAGCTCATGAAGTCGTCACGACAACGACCAGCAGGACAGTTACAGCCGATACCACCCCCAGAGCGTGCTTGGCAGCAGGTGACGATGGACTTCGTCACGGGGTTACCGGCTGGAGCGAGTGGGAAACGACGCGATCTTGGTCGTCGTCGATCGGCTGACGAAAATGGCACACTTCGCAGCATGCAAGAAATCAATCACAGCCGAAGAAACATCTCGCCTCTTCATCGCCACCATCGTTCGTTTACACGGGATACCAGCAGCGATCATCAGCGACCGCGACACGAAATTTAACAACAACTTCTGGCGGAACCTGTGGCAGCAGTTCGGCACGCGACTGCAGTTCAGTTCATCATACCACCCCGAAACCGACGGACAGACAGAACGGACAAATCAGACCATGGAACAGCTCATCCGGGCCACGTGCGACGACCCGACCACGTGGGAACAACAACTGCCACTCATCGAGTTCGCGTACAACAACTCGCCATCTGCCACGACCCAATAGTCACCGTTTTACCTGAACTACGGACAAGACCCCACAGTACCCATGACCGCGAATCCCGACAACCCAGTCCCACGCGCGCAACAGTTCGCAGAAATACTGCAAGCAGCACGGACTCGAGCAGCAGAAGCAATAAAAATAAACGTCATCGCTAAACGCAACACTGACCGCCACCGCCGACCTGTCACTTACCAGCCCGACGACTTAGTGTTACTCGACACTCAAAACCTCCGCCTGCTTATCACTCCAAAACTCCGCCCCCGATATTGCGGGCCATTTCGCATCAGCCACATGATCACACCCGTCACCGCCCATCTCCTCCTCCCTGTTAACTGGTACGTCAGCCCGTCATTCCACGTCAGCCTGCTTCGCCCATACGT